AGAAACTGCTAGGAACAGCCTGGCATGCTTCATGGACATGGTTTCACATCAAGAAGTGGTACCTCCTCTTTCAACTCCATTTTGGCAGAGAAAAAAGTAGACCTGTTCAGATTAACCTTCACCTCCTGCCTTAAGAATAGGTGTAGGCACATCCTTCAGGAAACAGCCTCAAGCCCGAGTGAGCACACCTGCCTACATGAAGCCTCTGCTAGGAACAGCCTGGCATGCTTCATGGACATGGTTTCACATCAAGAAGTGGTACCTCCTCTTTCAACTCCATTTTGGCAGAGAAAAAAGTAGACCTGTTCAGATTAACCTTCACCTCCTGCCTTAAGAATAGGTGTAGGCACATCCTTCAGGAAACAGCCTCAAGCCCGAGTGAGCACACCTGCCTACATGAAGCCTTGCTGAAAAACCCAATAGCTGGGAGACAGTATTCCCTGCTGAGCAGCTGCAGGCATCTCTCAAGCAGGATTACTTTCTGACAGCTCAAAGATGCTTTAAATCTCTAAGAGCCCCACAAATGGCATATGGGCAGTCCACTGGGCTCAAGACTGCCTTCTGAGGGCCAGGTGCCAAAGGACATAGGCACTACGCCAGGATTCTGCAAAGAAAGATGCAGAGTCAGTTCTAAGGGGTTCAAAATGAAAATGTAAAAATATAACTCTCTCTCTATATATATATGTATAGGCCATTTCACTGGACAGAATATACAAAACTTCATTTTCGTTATAACTAAAGCAAACTTTTTCAGCCTTTTGTTCCTTACAGAAAATGCTGATTTGTTCCACCTAGACTCTCTAGCTTCTGGAGCTTCTTGGGAATTTATTTTTATCATCTGCACTTTCTCTTCTTGGTTAATAAACCAAGACCAGTTCTTCAAGTTAAAAGTTCTGAAGCTGACTTCAGAATAGGCTGAGAGAGAAGCTTTAGTTACCTTCCTTAGCTTCCTATAACTCCAGATGAAGGATAGGTTTTCCCTTTACTATGCCCCAAGAAAATCACCCAAACAAAAGCAACAAGAAACACCACAGTTTCTGCATGCAATGTGATAGAATAAGTTGGTTGTAGCAAACAGAAGCAAGCAGCAGGAGTCAGCTGAGCTGGTCCAGGGAAACAGAACATTTTGCCAGCTGCACATCCTCACATTCAGCACCAGCATTCGTAGAACAGGGAGCAAGATGCACAGGATGCTTTATCTCTTTGTTCTGTTAAGAAGCTGCAGAGCTAGGATGCAACTTGTTAAAACACCCACATGGAAGGAGCAATAACAAAGAACTTGTGTTTGACACCTTTAGATCTAGGTGCTTCAGTGTCTGCTCTGTCTACAAGCAGCGCTAGGGCCTAGACTTGGCATCTCCTGCTCATCACTAAACATAACTGAGGCAGTGCTACTATTTCTAAGCTTCCCCCCAACTTACCGAATCCACAAGATTCTCTGTTTTATCAATCAGCAACTCCAGCTTCTCTCCTCTTTGTGCCACTAGGTCTGGTAAAAAAAAAAAAAAAAAAAAATCCAAGTCAGTAAGTAGGTAGAATCCCAGTGTAAACAACTGCCTCCAACACCCAAGTCCAACTATAAATCAGGAGCTTTTGGCAATAGCTTTTTTTTACTTATTAGATATAAAGCAGTCCTCAGCCTGTCAGTTTACCAGGCAGCAGTGCTTAAGGAACTGCTGTCTCTTATCACCCAGAATATATTTTTCTAGGAAAGACTCCTCAAGCTTGATCAGCTCCAGATCTAGCCTTCCATTTTAGTTGATCAGACTTGTTCAAACATTAATTAAGGAGTCATTCTGATAAAGTGAGTTACTAAACAGCACTCTCCTCACAGCACTTCTTATCCTGCAGGAAGGCCAAAGTGACAGACCAAGTCTGAAGCGTGCTGCATCTCAAAGGCTGTGGAAGTTCACAGACATCACTCCTTACACTTGTGTGACACAAGTGAATGCAACACAAAGAACAGCTTGCAAACTTGGAGCTCTTTCATGTGTACCAGGACATATATACAAGTCAGAAACCCCCTTAGCCCTCTTTTTTATTACATGAAGACAGCAGGCCAGACTACCATCAGCTGTGCTCATGATAAACTCTCCCTGCAGGACTGCCATCCAAGCCTAAAGGAACTCCACATGTATGACAAAGCAGCCAGATACCTATGTTTCGAACCATGATTCCTTTAAGTTCGTCAACTTGGGCTTGTGTCTCTGCCACCTGGTCAGTACCCTTGCTCTCCGAGTGGTATTTCTGTAACAAACAAATAGTGAAAGCAGGGATCTCTGGCATAGGACTTTAAGAGGACAAAAAGGGGAACTCCTGGTCACTACAGAAGAGCACAGAGGACACAAGCTGGGGATCACAAGGTATGAGAAGTAGGTAGGAGACCCAGAAGGGAGTTCCAGGTCACCTGCTGGTCACACATGCCCATCTGCTCCTTCAGTGCTGGAGTTGCACATTTGCCAGGTGCCTGCAACTTCCAGATGACCCAGAACTTTTAAGTTTAAGCATTTGGCAGCATTGCACAGCAAAGAGGGATGTTGAAAACAGTTCACTACAGCCCTGGGCTACAGTCACTCCTGTCCTCACACATCACTGTGCTGCCTTCATAAAAGTTGACAGCTTTTTCACAATCAACTTAGCATTAAAACATGTCAAAAGAGCCCCACAATTCTGCAACAAAAACAGAAGTGAAGTAAGAGAAGGCTGAGAGGGGATCTGATCACTGTATATAAATACCTCAAGGGAGGGAGTGAGGAGGATGGAGCCAGCCTCTTTTCAGTGGTGGCCACTAATAGGACTAGACATAGGACATCCACAAACTGAAGCACCAAAAGTTCCACAGGAACTTAAGGAAAAACTTCTTAACAGTGAGGGTGACAGAGCACTGGAACAGGCTGCCCAGAGAGGTTGTAGAGTCTCCTTCTCTGGAGATCTTCAAAACCTGTTTGGACGCAGTCCTGTGCCACGTGCTCTAGGTGACCCTGCGTGTGCAGGGGGGTTGGACTAGATGATCTCTAGAGGTCCCTTCCAACCTTAAGCATTGTATGAGCCACCATGGTAATGTTAGAGAGAGTCTTGGCATAGATGAGGAGAGCCCATGAACTGGAAACATCAACCAGGCAGTGTCAGAGACAGATTGATGCTGATGTACTCTACCAGTACAGGACTGGTTTTTAAGTTACTGCTCAACACAGGTTCTTTCTGGCCAAGGATTGCTAGTCACAGCTCCTATTGCCTTGCTCCCTTGAGGGAACCCTCAGTCAGAGATACAGGTCTCTATAGCCAGACTCAGAGTTAGGCTCTTGCCTCACCCTACCCATGTAGCCACTGCAGTCCCATCTGGTGGGGAGGCCCACGAGAACATCTGTATTTTATTAAAAATCAGAACAGGCTTGGTGAGCTAGAGACAAAAAGTAGTTTAAGTGTTTGGACCTCAACCATCCATGGGGCTACTTGCACCACATTTTTTTCCCCAAATAAGTGTTCAGTTTGCATCCATTGCATCTAACAGCTCCTTCAAACCATGTCCTCAGTGATTTTTCCCATTTTCCAAGGAAAAGCATGAGAACTGGCATGTTATCAAAGCTAGTCATTAGTTTTATTGGAAATGGAACCCCCTTTTTCAGGATTATCTGTGATACACAGTAGTAGCCTGATCTCAGGAGTGCTATATGATCTCTTCCTCCATGCTCATTGTCACACTAGTGACACTCCTTGAGTTACACGGATCACCCAGATAAGTCCCGTTCTTGCACCGCATGAAATGTCTGCTCACTAGGGCTCTAATCTCAGCAAGTTTTAACACCACTTCAGAAAACAGCTTTCTGTCACCACTTGCTATTATTAGTTGATGCCTGGATTTCTATCAATATGCAAGAGCTAAGGGAGACAGCTCTACTCAGAGTGCTGAGAGATGGAAAGACTGGGATTTTTAGCAGAATATCATGGCTCTGAAGACTGCCTGGCTGTTCCGATAAGGCAATTCCTTAAGCTCACTCCTGCTCACATTTTGACGAGTCATCACTTAAACAGTTCCAGTTTCTACCTATCAAAGACTGGCAGAGGTAGAAAAGACTCAGCCCTATTACAGACAGGGAACTAATCTCATTTTTAGGCACAAACTGATGTTCTTTACCAATTTGCCAGCTGCATAAGCCCAGGAACAGTACCTGAAGTGAACTATGTGCAGCTCTGCTCCAAGCCACCCCTGCTCATCACCATTGCCTCTGACAGGAAGACTGAGCCAAGACGAGCAGCTCTGTTACAGGGGAAACAGCACAAATGCAAGTCCTATATTCTCTCCCCTGCCAAATCTCCTTCTGCCCCCAATCCCTGGCTTCACCCAACACCTCAAACACAATTATTGCTGCTGGCAACTGCTGTAAAGCTTGACCAGGTCCCTCACTTAGTAGAAGGAGCACCCTCAGTCACCAGCAGTAGAGGACCTCTCAACACACACCCGGTCCATTGGACCTGTCCTTTACAGCAGGACAGGTAAAAAGCCAAACCTGCAGAGGGGTAACAGTACTAACATCCTCACCAGCCCCAATGGAGCAAATTAAGAACCAGCTGCATCATGTCTACAGCTTGGGTTGTAGCCACCTCAAATGCAGCCTGCATAAAAGCCCCAAAGCCCATATTCCAAGGCCACCTTGCATTTAAAGGTGGGTTCAAAAAAAATTGTTGCACAGGTAATTATGAAGTTAAGTTTGGAGTCAAACAAGGACTAAGAATGTGTCTCAGTTTAAACAGAGCATTCAAAGCACTTTCCTGACGACTAAAACAGCATCCCATCCTGCTGCTGGAGCAACTGCTCCCTGTCTTTCCTTCTCCTCTCCACCACAAAAAAAGAAATTTGCACTGAAGGAGGACAGCGTATTGCCTGCAGGTTCCTGAGGATACTCAGCTTACACATCAAGCCAACAGCCCATTAATGCCAATGTCTGCAGTACATCTCACCTCACTGTAGAGGGCAAAAGCTGCACACTAACCTACTTCAGAAGCTCTATACATGTATACAGTCTTACGCATTGCTGGGAATAGAGCACCTAAACCAATACAACTCCATTTAAAATTTCTCTTGTCCGGAAGCTGTAGATGTTGTCACATCTCAAGCATAAGCAGTGAGCAAAGCAATTTTTGCAAAAATGTAATGCCAGCATCAGGGTAGTATCAGATTTCTGCGGTAAATGAAGTGAAATGCAGCTCCTCAACACTTCAAGTCTGATATCAATTCTAGCCTGGCCCATCTTTCTCCTTCAGTGATCCAAGGAATCTGCATCAGCTAAAGCATTCTGAAATCTGGAAAATTTCAGGAGATTTGCAGAATCCCAGATGTGCCATGATGGCAACATTCAGACCACAGTTTTAGGTGAGCTATTAGTGGTCTGCTAATGTCAGACAGCACAAGTCTGACCACAGCAGTCCCACTGTCCCACTTACTGAAAGCCAAAATGCCACGTTGTCGCATTGCTCGGGCTGACTGCTCCCTCCTGGCCCCACAGAACATGGCTGCTTGCTACAACTCAGCCACAACATCAGCCTGCTCCTGTACCAGCTCTCTACTACATCAGTGGGCAAGAAGTCACCTCATACTATCCCCAGCTCCCTGCCCAATGGCACCTTTTTCCTCACTGCACTTGTGTTTGGAATGTGCAAGACAGCTGGGAGTCTATCATGGTTTTGTACGTGGCACCTGCATGTAACAACCCTAGTTTTCTTCCCTCCTGAAGAGGCTGCAGTGCCTCAAGCATGTTCTCTATAAGCTTCCAGTTTGCCACTCAAAACACTATGAGGTAAGCGTAAAAGCAGCAGCAATGGGCAGTTTGTGATCACTAAATCCTCAACCTTGAAGGTTAGCTTGATTGAAATAACACTATGCTTTTCTCCAGCACTTCATGGCAGTGATGACTGGACTACGCAGTCAATGTGGAACTAGGTTTGAGACTTCAAATGTTCCTTTAACATCTAATCGCAGTTGAAAGGGAGCATGGCACCAAGTCTGAAGAAATTCTCTCTGAAAATAACCAAGTTCAGTAGCTCCACAAATAAAGGTTCCAGAAGCACAACGAGTCTAGTTTGCTACATAGACGTGGCATGTGCTGTCTTCGATGCAGAAGTTCAGTTTTTGCAGCTACCTGATCTGAACAGGGAATGATTTCACTATTGACCCCAAATCCTTTACAACCAGCAGAGTGGCTCTGCTATAGGCAACATTTGGGAGAATACTACCAGACCCCCCTGCTTTATATCTAGGCTCTAGCCTGGCACTTTGTGTCTGAGTAAGGAACAAGGAGAATTTACAGGAAAAAGTTTTGGTTATTAGAGAAATCTTGTTTCACAGAGCTCACCAGTTGTGCAGCTAAGACACTCGAGAACTCGCTGTTCATAGCGTATGGAAGGGCTGTTTGTGCTCTTGAGCCATAGGTGGTCTGAAACCTCTTCTTTATTTCATTCAGGAAGGTGAAGGCTCTAGATCGTTCAAAGTCCTGGAAGGAAGAGAGCACATTCACACCCACTGCTGCAGATAGCCAGAGCTACATCAAGTCACAGGGCTGTTGGATAATGAAGCATACAGGGTATGTAGGCAATTTCAGAGATACTTATAATCAGCTCTCAACAAGCATGCTGTGTGTAACAAACTGAACTACTTATCTGATGGTTTTAATGGCAAACAGATTTTAATCTTGACTTCCTGGACATTCATTAGCAGCAGATATTATTGGAGTATACTTTGTACTAACCCTAGGCCTCCGCAGACAGAGAAGCTTTCAGCACCTCCAGAATTGAGAAATATTGCACATATTTCAGTGATGATTACAGACCAATTGCTATACCTAGATTTTCCTGTGCTGGGATTGCTGACAGACTATGCCAAAGTAAGAGCTTAAACTCAAAGCTAACTACATCTGAGGCTTGGATTTTGGAGGCTCTTGCTCATGTCAGTCACATGCAGTAGCTCCAAAGGAAAAAGTAATTTCAGATTAGCACCTATTACTGATTTTCACTGACACAGACACAAGGAAAACTAGTTCTTGCAGACAGCCCCTGTGTGCAAGAGCCATAACCAAAGTACTTACATCATCTGTGATGCAGAGGTATATAATCCTGTCTTGACAAATGTAATGAAACAGGTAACTGCAAAGAGAAAGGACAAGTCATTTGGAGCTGCCACAGGACTGATCTTGCCAAAACACTGGTATCTGTGGAGCCTTAAAGACTAAAGAGTAGAAGACCAAATTCCAGGTGCCCTGCAAGAAATCATGCAGATGCCATGAGTGATGCCCAAATATCTTTGTTCAGATACATCTGGATTCCTGTGATCTACCCTGAAACAGAGACCACCTCCATGTCAAAGAACCACTGGCCTCAAGCCATTCACAGCATTGCAGAGCTTTGTGGGACAGAGTCCAAAGCTACTTCAGGTCCACATTTCCACCAACTACTTGTAGAGAAAACCCTTGATGGGATTCCAGGGATAACATTCACATCTAACCCTAGTCAGTAGGTACACAAACTTCCATACACTAGGCAACATTATCTGCATTTGCTGTGAGTGAAAATATTATTACTTTGATGAACCTTGTTCATACAGTAACTTGCTGCTTTAACCTTGTTTATGGGACTGCAGTATTGGACTGCCAATAGTTTTCATGACAGAGATGAAAAAAGAGCAACTAGACCACAAAATAAATTGGATTGATCACGCTAACTCAAAGTACATGGTTACATCAACTCTTCACAGGAAGAGAGGAAGAAAAAAATAAAATAAACCACACACAAACATGCATCAACTCAGATGCAGATAAATCCAAATCCGAACTGAGTTGACTGATTTTAGCTATTGTGCTTTTTCTTATATTGTCCCTCTGTTATCTAACATGCCCTTGAGGTACTCTTCCAGCTATTATAGGGGGTCAGAATAGAAAGAGAATTACAAAAACGCCACATGCGTACTTTAAAAGCACCATGCATCTGCTCACCTTAAGATTTATAGGCCTTCAAAGTTTCCCAATAAGCAGCAAGACCCTTTTGCAAACTCCAAAATAAAGCCAAGCTAATGCACACACTGCAAGCAGTTGCCTTGCACAGGTCCGAGGGCTCTGTGCGGTAGTTTTCAAACTCAAGCTTAGTGTTATATAAGTAGCTGAACATGGGAATAAGGCTCACAGCATGTCAGGGGGCTCTGATAGTTCTCACGAGAAAGCCTCCACATCTACAACTATTGCCACTCCTTCCTGGAAGGCAGGAAGCAAAGCTTATCATATAGCACCTTAGAGACTACCTAGTGGTAAGAGGCAGAATATCCCCAAGAACTCTGGATGCAAGAAGGCTAATTTCCCTTGGAGATTATGTAAAGACTCAGGCAATCTTCCTAAAAACACTCCTTAAATGGAGTACAAACTCAAGTATTTTCCCTGTTACAGAATTAAAGCAATAATCCTAGACAAGCAGGAAATCGGGCTATTTCCCCATGTTTAGGCTTCGGCTCTGGCAAAGCAGAAATATCCCTGCAATCATATAGGCAGGAAGAACTCTTTGAGCTCACTCAGCTTCTCCGTTTCAATGACTCCTCCAGATATCACAGCTGGGTGCAAGGAGGGAAAAGAGCATTTAATAAACTAAAATCTTGTATTCGCACAGCCGGAAGACATTTCCTGCTCCAAACTGTTCATGTACGTGCATAAATATCTAGTCCTCACTCCACACAGATGACAGGAACTGTCTTCACCTCTCCCAGAGTGAATGCAGGATAGAGTTATTCTAACTGAAGTTGTTGTTCTCAAAATGCTTAGAAACTAATGCCAAAAACGAGACTTGCCAAAAGAGGCTAGTTTTGGAAGAGGCCCTCTGGTGCCAAGCTTATGCCCAGAGCTGCAGAACAACATCAGTACATTCTAGGAACACAATGCAAATCAGAAAAATCACATCACCAACAGCAGTGAACTTTGTCACTTTTATTGAAGCCTGATTGAGGAAACACTCAGTAATGAGCAAAAGATGATACATTTCATCCACAGCTCACTTTGCAAGTATAAACACTCACTGCTGCCTCTCAGTGTTCCCAAAGCATAGCACTCCTAAAACTCAACTTTGTAACTGGCCAAAGAATGCCTTGCTCTTATAATTACACTAGAACAAAGATTCAGCATCCAGAAAAACTTACCATGATGCAGGCATCACCTTCTTAAAACTTCTCTGGGATTTTTAGTGCTCCCAAACCAGGGAAATGTTCAGAAAGATCACTCATCAACAGCATTTTAAATCCAAGTTCTTACCAGTGAAGCAGGCAAGCAGAATTATGTTTTCAAATCTTAAAGCACTGAAAGCAATTTAACATAACAGCTTGGACAACATCTAGAACCCAACCACAATGTCAATTCCAAAGACAGAGCTTAAATGGGACTAAAAGCTTCTAAACTAGTCTTTCCTCTACAGTTCCTTCTCTGGTTTGTACACCAGCACACGATGCATTTACTTTTAGGTGGAGCAAGTTGGTACAGCCTCAAGAGATGTTACGTTTAAACCCTCATTCCATCAACTTTGATCAGGACCGTTCAGAGATCTGTAAAAGCCTGGGAAAAAAAAAAGTTTGTCTGACTGAGTTCGTGGTAGCTCAGAGTCGCTCTGCAAGATACTGGCAACCTGATTTATCTTCAAAGAACCACAAGTAACTGGAGAGGAGCAAAATCTTTCTCTCACAGCCTAATGCCGTGTCCAAGTCTCAAAAGCCAGCAAAAGATTCCACAAGCCAAATTCCAAACACCAGCAAGAAAAACTCCAACAGGCATAGCAGAATGCTTTGGAAACTGTATCCAGTTAGAAAAGTTGATTTCAACTGCCTCCCTGCTATTCAGAGATCTGTAAAAGCCTGGGAAAGAAAAAGTTTGTCTGACTGAGTTTGTGGTAGCTCAGAGTCACTCTGCAAGATACTGGCAGCCTGACTTATCTTCAAAGAACCACAAGTAACTGGAGAGGAGCAAAATCTTTCTCTCACAGCCTAATGCCGTGTCCAAGTCTCAAAAGCCAGCAAAAGATTCCACAAGCCAAATTCCAAACACCAGCAAGAAAAACTCCAACAGTCATAGCAGAATGCTTTGGAAACTGTATCCAGTTAGAAAAGTTGATTTCAACTGCCTCCCTGCTTATACTTAAACAAAAGTCAGTGCATGTGCAGCCAGCATGCCAACGTTAAATATGTTGTAAAGAACTAAAGTGGGCTAGACCCTCACAATATGTTCAAGTTTCTCCTCCTGTTTCCAGAGGAGCACTACTCACTTCCCATGGGAGTAGGTCAGTTTGTTGTTTTCGGATGGTATCTTAGCCAGGATCTGCTCTGTCACCTCCAGGAAGTTTCCTCCACACCAGGCATGCTTGGCAAGTATGGTTGTGCCCCTTGCAACAACAGCAAACAGGATAGCCATGACTTCTTACTACCTGAAATTAATAAAAAAGAGAACATTAGATTTGCATTATTTGGCAGAAGATATGATCTTCTTATAACATTAACAGTATTCTCTCAGTTCTCAGCACAAAAGGATGGGGCATAAGCACATTCAATACATTCACCATTATCAACAAGCCCTCTTCCTATTCTCATTTCCTCTTCTAAGTCATGTACAGGATGACAGCAAGACTGCACTAATCTCTAGTTGTTTTTTATAGCTAGAAGGTGTCCTACAGCCAGTGATCGCATAGCCAGATTCATCTACAATCTACCTAAATTGCTAAACATTAGTATATTTTCAGCTCTCCCACTAACCCTGAATATTTTGCTTGTTCTCCTTTGAAGAAACTGCCTGCAGTCAGCAAGCTACAGCTCAGAAAGAAAGCAACTGTCTTGCAAATACGTTAACAGGAATTAATTGCACAGACAAGTGCAACATCCCCAACGTATGATTTCATTTTGATGGGCATCAGAACCAAGACACTCTTAAAACAGAAGTAGGTAAGTTACCACCTGCTTAGAGTCACACCACACACATTCAGTTTTTATGGTCTAGAAACACCAACTGTGTGTTTTCAAAGACTTCTGTAAAAGCACGTAATCTGCCTTTTTTCAAGGAAGACAGTGCATTTGTAAATGGATTATCCATAGTCACACATTCTCTTCAAAAAGGTGACATTCTTGCTTATGTATTAGACTGCACAGATGATTGAATGCCTCTAGAGCTGGAAAAAATGCATGCTATCATACCAGAGGGCACATTTAATCAGCTTGGGCATCACCACATTAAACTGCTCACAAAGTCAAGACTTAAAATGCAGAACCATATGTTGGGTTGCAGTTGTGACATCCACTCAGCTGATTTCAGTACAACCATAAGCCTCTTTACTGCTTAGAAAAGACTTAGAGTTCTGACCTTGCAAAGAAATCTTATTTTTCACTTTGCACTTGATACTGCCCATCTTGTTGTGTACAGAAATGTCCACATTCCAGCTGGAAAGATTATACAGCTATTTCAATGCAACTGAGTAACTTGGAAACTTCTCTACAAAACAACAACAGGAGTGAAGCACTGACTTATCTTTAGGATACAAAGACTGCTCCTAGAAAACCTATTAATACAGACTATACCCAGTCACTTTCCACCCACACAGCATTGACTGAAATGACCTCTTGACTTCAGTGAGGCTCCCTGTATCAGCCATCAATCCCAGGGAGCTTGTGCAGCTCTTTCCTCAAGATTGTGCAATTCAATTTGAGCTGAGGTATAACACAGCATCACAGAAGAGATTAAGTAAGAAGGGCAGAACTGTTAACAAGACCAGGAAGTTATCATATAGTCACCACTGCACAGTCCTCACTGCTGCAACACTCATGGTTCTCCTTTTACCAGCCAGAACAGCTTCAGGTTTAGCCATCAGTGGTCAGAACTTCCTAGAGGCATGAGAGCTCAACATCTGAGGGCAGGAGAATAACCTTATGGACTTCCATGGATATGCCACAACCTTTAACTCAGCCACATGAGAGTACTCAGGTATTCAGAACCGGCATTACAAAAGGAAACAGAAAGCAAAGAATTAATCTGACAAGTAAAACAGCATAATAAAAGCTCTCCAAGGACACTGCTTCAGAGCACCCAACTAAACACACGCCAGAAGGAACCAACAAGGGAAGTTCAGAGCATCAGGAAAGGGAAGAATGAACACATAACACAAAGCCTCATATGATTCAGACATGAGTTTTCGGATAGCTGTTCTGCTCCCCTCTGACCAGTCAGACAGCTAAAAAGCATCAAACCAGAGGGCAGAAGGAAGCCCCAGAGCACGCGGCAGCAGCAGTTGCCTGAAAACACATTTGCTTCTTTCGCTTCCTCCTGGCTTAGAGCTGGCACTCTTCAGACCTGCCGTTGTGCTTTTCCTGTCAAGGACAGGGGACATCTCCCTCATGAGAGCACGAAGTAAAGTAATGCAAAGCAGCACAGCTACACCAACTCACAGCCTCAGACCTGCCCTCTGACATTAAGTGTCTGTCACTGCAGGAGAAAGAACACGTTATTTTACAACTAAAGATCAGAATAAGAACTGTTCAGAATGATTATCCTTAAGAATTTGGACAGATATTGTTTAATTTGATATAATAAGCACAATTAGCGTCCACCTGAAGATCACAGAAGTTGCAGAATATGCAAGAGCAAAGATAAAACGGAAAGCATGTAAGCAAGAAAATAAAATTCAGCCTGGAAAAGAGATACCCACAGAGTTGCAATTATTCACTATTTTGAATACAAAACCTTGAGAACAAGTTCTACCAGAAGGAAGTATTTCTTCACATAGTTCTCCAACGTACTCAGAATTCACAAAAACTCTTCAGAAAGAACAACAAATTTATAGAAAAAGAATCACTACTAAACAAGTACCAGCCAAACAGCTGATCACTGGAGGTTTTTTTGTTTGTTTGTTTTTTAAATTAATTCTTCCACTCTTTCCGAGGCTTCCCACTAGTCACCATGGACAATACCAGGCAGGGTCAACCTTTGGGCTGACTCAGTGCAGCCATTCTTAACAAACCACCACTTACTCCAGAGAAGCTCTGTGGTTTTCCAGGGATAAATACTATGAAAAACAGCAGTGTGGAAGGTCAGGGAAGTGAAATCCACAATCTAGCACCAACAGAGGTTGGCTCCTGTAATGCCTTGGATTTTGTGCTGCTCACTCCCATCCATATGGTGAAGAGTCAGCAGCTACACAAAAGCTTAAGGTACCAACATTACCAGTTGAGAGCAGGAAAAGCAGTCAGACATCAGTGATTTTGATGCTTTTAGTCTCAACCTACTTGTAGCTCTCCAAAGCTTATTTCTTGGAACCTTCCTGAAGAAACAACTGCTTTCATGCAAATAAGCTGAAGCAGAACCGAAGCCAAACAGACTCAACAGGCCAAGTTTATAGGCAAATATGAAACCAAACTAGACCTTGGATAATTCAAGTTAAAGACCTACCATACCAGAGACAAAAGCAGCCCAACAGCTGGCTCTGATCTTGCAAAAAATTCACGCCTTCTAAAACCACACAACTGCTGGTGCTGGTTTCTCCTGATTAAAGGGACAGCAGCTCCTTCTTCTGTCTAACGAGGGCATTGGGAAGGAGAAGTATCTTCCCCATAGAAATAACCATGTGTGTGTGTGTGTGTGGGGGGGAATAAAAAGGCTAAAGTGCCAACAGGTATGCACAACTGATCCTACCCAGGCTTAAACTGTTCCCCTATAACTTACTTTTGTTTTGTGTAGTTCAAACTTCTAGCTATAGTTATTTACAGGAATTTAGACACTTTGTCCTGTTTTTCACTTACTCAACACCTCTTCAGCATAGTACTTATCTCTTCAGAAGCTATCAACAGCAGTTCTTCTACCAGCAAGGACCTGTTGAGCAGCACAGTTCTAACTAAGTACCTGCGACAGGGATCATAACAGCTAAACAGGAAAAATGAATGTAATCATGTCTGATCAGAGCCCCCAAGGAAGTCCGCAATGCTCAGCCAGCCCAGCCACTAAACCAGAGCAGTGTCAGCATCCAGCGAAGGATAAACAAACACAACTACGCCTCTTGAGCAATCATGTGACTGCTAGTATCAGAAAGCAGCCTTTTCGCACGGAAATGAAGGAACAAGATGGGCACAAAGGACCAGCTGTAAAATGAAACCAAAACCAGCACATGCACATCATCTGGGAAGCATCAGAAGTCTACCACACAGCAGCTAACCTCAGAATTAGAGCTCGCAGAACACACCGCTATGTGCAAACCCTCCAAGGACACCTGACAGGCTTGCCCATAAAAACCTGCAGCATCGTAAGAGTAAAACCACACAGGTCCAGTCTTCAAGGGGACTTTTACAGTTTCAGCCATGAAGACTCCAAACATAGCAGACTGCCTATTATTTTAAAGTGAAATGAGAAAACAGGACTTGCTTGCTTCTCTGACTTTGCAGACCACAAATAAACACCCTGATGGCAGCTAAGATCACTGGGGCAAGCGGCCAGTCACGGGAAGCCACCCTCATCAGCAGTGCTCCCCTTACCATCCAGGGGGACTCACCTGGACTTCTGGACCAAAACACTCAAACCTCAGCACCCGGTGACAGAGCAATCACTGCTTTTACCTCCAGAAACACAGGCACACAAAGCAGGGGGACCTCACATTACTCTAACGCTGTAACGAGCTTACATGTTGCAACCATAGGAGCTGCAAGAAGGTCATTTGAGCAGTGGTAGAGGGCAGCCAGGCTTCCCTTTAACCCTTCACTGCCTTCTCCGAGATGCTATTTCTTTGCTTATTTCTTGCTCCCAAAACATCTTAGGAGGATGGAGGATACTCCAGCTGTTAGCCCACGAGCAAACTTGGGCACATTAAGCCCAGAACACGCGTATTTCAGGGCCCGTTTGGGGGATACTTAGCGCTCTCCTTGCACATAGCTCTCTCTGGTCGCTCCTCAGGGTCATCACCGGAAACATGGGTCATTAGCCAACATTAATCCCGCTTCTCCCCAGGCCCGTCACCCTCCCGGGGAGGTGACACCGCGGCTCGCCAGTAGGGTGACG